TTCTTGTCTGTTGCTACCATGATTATTATCAAAATATTAAACTTTAATATAATATATAAAAAAAAAGAAGACATTTAAAATAAAAAAATATTTAAAAATCACAATTCACATATATAAATAATTGTAAACACAATCCGTGCATAACACGAGTGATATGCTAATATCCAAGAAATTAGAAAGGTGATTTAACCATATTATATTAAACCTGACTTAATGAAATATTAAAAAAAAAAAGATTAGGTGAAATAAAACGCTATAAAATAAATGAAATATTAAAAAAAAAAAGGTTAGGTGAAATAAAACACTATAAAATAAAATTTATAAAAAAATGATCATAATAAAATTTATCATTGATAATTATTTTTCAAATTATACACTGTATAAAAATTTCCCCAAGTTTTTTTAACCAGCTTTGACTCGTCAACGCACACAGCGACCCATCCTTGTCCATCACGACCACAGCCTAAAACCCTGTCCCCTCTCTCTCCCTAAAGCCCTCCTCTCCTCCCGAATTAGGGCTTTTCCCGCATTTTCACTCTCTTCTCTACTGAAAGAGAGAGAGAGAGAGAGAGCATTCTCTGATTCTGGTTCTAGGGTTTTATCATTCAATTCAACAATGGTGTCCCCTAAGCTACTCCTTTCCACCATCGAGTCTTCCCTCCTCGGCCCAACCTCTCCTTCTCCCTCTCAAAGGATCGAGCTCATGCACGCCATTCGCCACTCTCTCCCCTCTCTCCAATCCCTCATCTCTTACCTTGTACACCTCTCTCTCTCTCTCTAAGTATCACTAAGCTTTGGTGAAATTATGATGTTTAATCCCACCTGAATTTTGTTATTTGATTATTGTGAATGATCTTTGTGAAGTTGAAATACTCAATTTGTTTTCTTTTTGGCAGCCTCCAAAACAGTCAGACCGTGCTCAAGTCCAGTCCAGAGAAGTCAGGCTTCCGGATTCTTCCCCAATTTCACTTGATGAGCAGGATGTTCAGATTGTCAGTATTGGTTTTATTTATTTTTTTGTTGGGTGGTTGTTGTTATGATTGCATTTTTAATCAAGCTATTACAGTTAATTGTTGTTTTTTTTTTTTAATTTGGTTGCACGAATTGAACTATTTCATTTTGAATGGATTAATTCAAAATCTCGGAATTTACGAATGAGTTAATTTGAATTGGTTGTGGAACAAATTTTAAATCATCAAATTTAGGAACCCATTTAATTATCCAACTTGTGAAGTGGTAAAATTCACATTTTTAGGACAGTTGAATGTGCCCAGGCCCCAAGATGTATTAGAGAGAGAGGAATCCTAAATCTAGGGAATATAAGAGTTAGAGCTCTGAAACTAAAAACCGTAATGATAAAAAACTATTCACTAGAAGCCCACCTACCTATTCATAGACATAGGGCAGCTCATACAACAATAGAACTACCAGCAACTAACTCTCAACCACAATACAAACCACATCACTCATTGTCCCAGAGGGAAAATGTGTATGATGGTGATTTGTCGGTCAGAAAAGTCATTGGACAAGGCCAAATGGCGAGAGACATATTGCTGACTGTCAAGTCAGTTGCTTTATTATCTTATGATTGCTGATAGCTCGATATATTTTGCATGAAATGGTTTTGCCTTGCTGTGTGTAATTCTTTGGTTGGGTCATTTCTGTTATACTTCATTTGGTTACTAAAAGAATGTAGAAAAACAGGATGAATTATAGAATTTTACATACGAGGACTTTTTATGCGCTAGGCTTTGGGCTTCACCAATCACCATATGATTTTTGTGTCATATTTACAAAAAATGTCAAAACTCAAGGCGTGTGTTCTAAACATAGGTAGTTTATGTATTTTCAATTAGTCAGCATTGAAATTGCCACCAAATAATAATTGTTTTCTCTTTTAATTTTCATTGCGAATGATCATTCTTTGAGTATTTTGTTCTTCATTATCATTATTTACGCTGAAGTGTTCTGGGGTGGTTTGGGGGATGAAAATGGCTAAAAAATCCCAAAAGCCAAAACGTTTGGGGTGCATCAAAAAAACAAATGTACCTTTGCATTTTTTCCATAGATCTAAAACAAGGGTAAAATGAAAAATTTAGGCAAAAAGCCAAAATATCACATCAGCCTTCCATGTTTTCCCATACAACTGAAATAAAAATCCATTCCAAAGCACATTAATCTTTTTCCACCTCACAAAAAAACTAGAATTTTAAAAAGCTACCCAAAAAGCTAATCCCAAACATAAGCATTCTGTTTCTAGTCCTTGTACATAGGGTGGTTGCATCCAAGCATAAAAGTGAAGCCACGTGAGAAAACAAATATACCTTAATGATTATCAATGTTCTAATTATCATTGTTCTTCTATTTTCAAATTTTCTTTGCATAGACTGTAACCCTTGTTGTTTGGCTCAAAGAGAAAAGAGTTACCCTTTATGAAGTTGATTAAACCTTACCCTCTAGTGTTACTGCAACAACAAACAACAAAACTAAAGGGCTTTTTTTAATAGCTGTTTTGAAGGATTCAAGTGAAGAAAATGTTTGGGTTGTCTCTCCTTTTATAATTGTTTGGAGAGACAAAGTTTTATTTTAATGATGCATATAAACTACACTAGATGTACAAATTTCATGTTGGCTTTTTGCCAAACCAGGAAATTGTAAAGGTTGAGAGAGGAAGACAATAAGTAGACCATGATTTTGTGTTCACTGGCTGCCCAACTACATAACGATGGCAACCTGTATTCAGTGAGTGAGTCAGTAACTAGTATTAGATTAGAGAGTAGTATAGTATAGTGTAACTTACCCTAAAACTTTTCTCCATAGTCACAGATCCATACCCACCATAGCTTCCCACCTGCCTTACAGCTACCATTCCAGGTGATGAAGATGAAGATGGCAATGGAACCGGAACCGCTGAAAAATCACACACACCACCAAACTAATATTAAAAATAAAAAATTAAAAAAAATAAAAAAGATCAAATTACATTTTTTTTTTCCGGGTGTCAAAATTAGTGGGTTAGTTAATTAGTTAGTAGTAAGTTAAATTACTACTTATAAACATTCGATGCTTCACCATAAATTCAAACTCAGAATCTCCCCCAATTTATTTCTTAGAAATCAAGGAGTATAATCACTTGAATGTTTGAAAAAAAAAATAAATAAATAAAACCCAAGGATCTCAACTACTTGACCTAAACTTAAGTTCTTCATAAAACTATCAATTGATCCATATCAAAAATAGAAAAATAGTTTAGTCTTTAGCATAATTTGAACAAAGTGAAAAATGTAAAACAATAAATATATACATATTGTAAGTACATCTACAAAAGCATTTTGTTTATGCCCATTATTCAATATTCTACCTAAGTATGTAATGTGATAGGGGATGGGTAGTGGCAGAAGAAAGATCGGTCTTTAGGTCTGATGTGTGGGGATAGTTTCTTCGTTCTTCGGTACCTTATTTTTTCTTTTGTTCACATCCCTAGTTATTTTCTTGTTTACTTTAGGCCTTGAGTGTGGGTTTTTAATGGGGTTGATGCTGGATGTCTTACCTGTGGCTCCTTTTGGTTACATAATAGTATATATGTTGAGCAACAGTGGACTTGCTTCTTGTGAGTTAGAATATCTGCAAGGAGACATCAAATGGACCGGAATCTCAATTGAAGGGATGTTCATCCATCATTCATTTCGTGCTGGATTCCATTACCTTCAGGAAGGCTCCTAATATGCTTTACTGTGACATTTCTTCCTTTCAGCCAATGGAAATTTATGTTGATAACGAGGCGAAATTGACCCTTCATGGTCTTGTACAGGTATTGCTTTGGAAGTTTGGTTTTTGGTCTTTGCCTTATTTTTAACCATTATCTTACCTCTCAATTTTAGGTGTTCCTCTTTTGTTAGGTTTTCCCCTTTTCTGACATCTGTGGTCGTTAGTTCTTCCTTAACTTCATCTCTGTTAAGATGCTGAGCATTTTTTACTTCCATCCGGTCAGGCTGAGGATCTCCTTCACCGTTTTTTGATTTTCTTAGTGCTCCACCCAAGGTGATACTCTTCTTTGACTCTAGTAATTTCGCTATCAGTAGCCATTGTCTTGGAGCTCATTTTCCCCAATCAATGGTTTCGTGGCTTCTATTAGCTGGGGGGTGTACTGACACATCATTGTGTAGTGCCGGGTATTGGTGCTATATGCAGTATGTCGAGTGGCTGTGTCGTGACATGTACGTAAGTATGGCGTGCGATGAATAGGATTGTTACTGTCAGTTCGCGCGCTTGCATGTTGGCCATTGGTGCTTGTGTTGTATTTGATTATATTTCTTTTGTTACTAATGCACGGTAATGATTATCGCCAGAATGAAGATCCCCAGTTGTCAGAATAAGGATTGGCAAAGTAGACAGCCACTCATAAACATTCTTGCGGCTTATCTTTTTTTAATGGTGGATGCACTTTGATGCTTCGATATAAATCCTACTCGCTGAGATCACGTTGAATATTAATTCTTGATGGAGTACATATTACATTCTACTAATTATGGGTACTATTAATCTGTAGAAAATTTCATGGTGCAGTATTTTATGAAGATTTATGTATCTTCACATTATTATGCAATTGACTAATTTACTTTAGGCTACTATTTTGGACATTGCTTATAGTTAAGGTGCATTGAAAAACAAACATTAATTAAGGCTTGCGGGTGAGCACACATTGGTTGAAAATATATAGATGTGAAGTGTGATGTTTCTATCCTTTACCTATATTTTCTATGTTGCTTATCTGTCTGTGTGAATTCGTAACTTGATCGGACCTGTTATTGGTTGGATTTTTGGTGGCATTGAACAAGTTAAACTTTTGGTATTTTGTGGATATTTCACTTATTTTATTATATTAGATGAAATTATTTGTAATGATGAATGGATATCTCATTTTGGTTAATTTCGTAAATGTGTTTGATAAAAGTTTAGGTTAAGTTGTGATGGAATTGTTTATAGTTCAAGCAGGTTTGAACATGAGCAGTGTCCATATTTGTTGAATTAAAATAGATTTTTGATAAAATAGGTATAGAGCGATAACATCCTTAATGTGGAGAAAAAATTATTATGGAATTATTGACAAAATTTTTTCATGCCGCTAAAGAAGGTTTTTTTTGTCTCTTTATTTAGCTTAGGTGGATGATTAATTTTGTCATGAATTCTTTATTTCGTCGCTAAATGAATTTGTCATGACAAAAAATAGTCACATTTTGTCACTATTACCCTCAATGTGTGACGAATTTTTTTTGACATTATTTCCTTATTTTTAATGATGAATTTGTTTTTGTCTCTATTGGTAGCTTCTTTGACAAAAAATTTTCGTCTTCGTTTATATTAAATGTGACAAAATTATTTTGTCTCCATTTCTTATATTTATGACAAAATACTTTTGTCTCTAATTTTTTCTTTAATGACAAAATATTTTGTCGCTAATTACTTGCAAGTATGTTCCCAACAGAGTGTATTGGAGACAAAAAAAATTCGTTACAAATTTATCATTTTTAATGATGAATTTGTTTTTGTCTCTATTGGTAGCTTCTTTGACAAAAAAATTTCTTCTTCGTCTATATTAAACGTGACAAAATTATTTTGTCTCCATTTCTTACATTTATGACAAAATACTTTTGTTTCTAATTTCTCCTTTAATGACAAAATATTTTGTCGCTAATTACTTCCAAGTATGTTCATAACAGAGTGTATTGGAGACAAAAAAATTCGTCACAAATTTATCATTTTTAATAATGAATTTGTTTTTGTCTCTATTGGTAGCTTCTTTGACAATTTTTTTTTGTCTTCGTTTATATTAAACGTGACAAAATTATTTCGTCTCTATTTCTTGTATTTATGACAAAATACTTTTGTCTCTAATTTCTCCTTTAATGACAAAATATTTTGTTGCTAATTACTTACAAGTATGTTCCCAACAGAGTGTATTGGAGACAAAAAAATTCGTCACAAATTTATTGTTTTTAATGATGAATTTGTTTTTGTCTCTATTGGTAGCTTCTTTGACAAAAAAATTTCGTCTTTATTTATATTAAACGTGACAAAATTATTTCGTCTCTATTTCTTATATTTATGACGAAATACTTTTGTCTCTAATTTCTCCTTTAATGACAAAATATTTTGTCGCTAATTACTTACAAGTATGTTCCCAACAAAGTGTATTGGAGACAAAAAAATTCGCCACAAATTTATCATTTTCAATGACGAATTTTTTTTTTCGTCTCTAAGACCTTTTAGTGACGACCCTTTGGAGACAAAACGGGTGACGAAAAATGTTCGTCGTAATTAGTTTGGGTGATGAAATATATACATTTTGGGACAAATTTGTTTCGTCTTTAAATCCCAAATTTGTTGTAGTGTTAGCACACACTCAGGGATAGAGAGAGAGAGGGGAGAGTTGTATGTCTAAAATGTAACTCACCAAAATGATCATCCCCAGCATGGGGGACGCAGATACGCTTTTATGCCTTCTGCGCCCCAAATCTACTTCCATTAGTCTCTAGACACGTGGTGCTACTATCCTATCTATCAACACAAATCCAGCAATCATCACCTAACCAAACTGTCAGGATATCTTGGCGGAGCCCGGCAGACTGGCGGAATCACCTCGACCTCACACGGCTGTGTTGCGCCGCATGCCCGAACGCTCACTAGCCGAGCTCCATACCGATCGAGCTCAGTTGCATTCCGGCAGAGCCGAGCTCGAAGCAGATCACGCGGGTAAAACAAGGCCTTCCTGTCTAGCTAAACGCACGAACCGTAGAATCTGGAATGGCAGGCGGTCATCTCGGTTGAGCAACCCCAATTAGCTTGGTTTCTACACAAACAAGCCCAAGTAGCTCAGTCCAACATGGTCCTGTGCCTTAACCAAGCAAAACCTCTCTGGACAAGCCCAAGCTACCGTGGCCCAAACGTGTTCGGCACTCAACTTGCCCGGTCTTTGCCATGGCCCATTCTAGCTCATAAAATCTCCCTCTTAATTGCCCCTTAATTTCGTCTGCAAAAGCGTGACCGGGATTACATGATCCGACCGGGGTAAACCCTTCCTCGGTCTGTTGTTTGTAAGACGTCAACCGCACTAATTCCAGTGCACAATTCCTCGATCTGTTCGGTCGACGTCTCATCTCCCCTTCCTGTCTCTTCAACTTTGACGCCGTCGTTAATTGAGACACGCGTCGCTCGTTCATTGGCCTCGAGCAGCCAACCATCACGTCCCTTCACATTCAAAATTTTGGCGGCCTTTTTCTCTTACTTATACGCCTCTCCCCATTTCATTTCGTTCTTACTGACTCTCCTCCATTCTTGTCGATCCAGAGCTCCAGAGCCTTTGAAGAGCTTCCTTCCTGCGTCTTGCTGCGTTCGTGCTTGAAGACTCACCTCCAGCCCCATTCTGGTAAGTTCTTCGACCCCCTTTAATGCTATTTCATTTAGTATTCTTCGTTTTAGGGAACCAAAACCATAGATTTTAGGGTATAGCTCCCCAAAACCCTCTCCTGCCTCTTGTTCTCCTTGTTGTTCTTCAGCTTCACTGATGAACATCTCAAGATCTGGGGCGGACCGGGCTCCAGGTCTTCTTTTGATCCCAAAAAGCGTTAAGACCGAGCAAATTACAAGTTTGTCAAAACCCTAGCAAAAACTGAGCTAGGCAGAAGACTTGGCCGCTCGACCGGTCTAACATTTGGTCTGCTTGAGCGACCGAGCTTATTGGTTTGCCTTCGCGACTGAGGTGGTCTAGCACTCTTTCTGACCGAGCTAAAGTCAAGCTCATTTCGCACGACCGCGCTTCCACTTACTATTACCCTCCTTTTCCTGCAGAGTCCAAGGGGACCATTGACCAATACCGAGGCTCTCAAAGACCGAGCAACCGTCAAACACCAGTCAATGCCAAACCACCTCAGCCGAGCTAAACCAGCCGGCTTCCAATGGGGCGCTATTACTTCCTTGTCGACACTCCGGCTGCCCTGGCTGCGTTCCGGGAAGAGTACGGTATCCCGACCGGCGTTGATCTAGAGCTCGGCGAAATTGACACAACTCCATGGGGCAGATTAGACCAATGCCCCTTCACCGTGCTATCCATCATAGAAGGAGGCCTCCGCTTCCCGGTCAACCCACTCATGACCAAATTCTTGCGACGCACCAGGCTAGCACCTACCCAAGTCTCAAACAACACTTACAAAATAATCAACGGGGTCCACGAGCTGAACAACCGGCTAGGGACCGACTTAGGGATAGCCGAGATACTCCGCCAATACACCCTAGGGCGCACAGGCGACGGCCTCGCCTACTACTTAAAAATTAGACCGGGCAAAGAGAAGATAGTGACCGGCACCCCGGACAAGGACTTACACGACGATGACTTTTTCTGGGTGTCCGGCAACTATGAAACAGCCGACGTACCGGGCTGGTTCATTAACAAGAACTTCGGTTCAACATGTAAGTCGTGCTACCTGCTCAGTCAATTCATCTTTCTTCACTATTCTGTACTTAACATTTTTTTTCTGTTTTCCTTTGCAGCAATTGAAGCCCTGCAAGCCAACTATCATTATCCTAACGAAGTAGCCATCAGAACCGTGCTCCGCTACTGTAACTGGGATTGCCACGAGCTCCTCGATTACACATCCACATACAGATATTTAGCTCTACGTCGGAGTAAAGTCACAGACTTTCTTCGTGCTCCATCTCCACCTCCCAATCCCATATTACCGGACGTGCTATTCATCCGGTTGACCGAGGCAGAAGAAATGGAAAAAAGAAGCCCATCAAGAACCTCATCACCGCCACCTCCATCGAGATCCCGAGCATTCCAATTCACTCTCCTGCTGTCGGGAAATCCAGCGGGACCGTGATTGCACTAGCGTCACCCGCCGCCGGGCAAGCCAGCAAGGACAACCGCCGGGCTGGCAAACAGCCACGTACAGACCCTTTCGCCGAGCTAGTTACGGAGCTCAACACCGAGCAACCTACCGTGATAGCTGATCCAACTCCGCCATGGAGGCCCCAACTCAAGCACCGGGGTAAAGAGATCCCAGCGACAGCTTCTGTT